GGCGTTTTTCAGCCCGAAGGGCATCCTTCGGAACTGAAAAACGCCGAACGGAGTATTAATGGCTGTTTTTTTCTTATGTGACTCGAAAACTTCGACCTGGTGAAAAGCCGATTTTAAGTCGATTTTCGAAAAAATTTCAGCCCCCTCCATACTCGCGTTCACGTCACTTATCGATGGAAGTGGATATCTATCCAAAGCGGTAATCGAGTTCAGACGACGGAAATCCCCGCAAAGACGAAAATCTGTGAGTTTTCCGTCCGGATCACGTTTCGGCGCCACGTGAATCGGGGAGCCCCACTCGATTGGTCCAGACACCTCTTCAAGAATTCCTCCATCGACCATCTCCTTCAACTTTTTTTGGACGAAAATTGCCTTCTCGCCAGATAATGGTCGGCTTCTTGAGAACACCGGAGCGTTCTCTCCGGTTTCTATTCTGATTGGAGCGAACAGAGCTGGAGAGTTTCCATCGTCTGGACCCTGAAGGTTACAAGAGGAATTGATTAATCGAATCGCCTCTTTACGTGTTGAGTCAATTGAGGATGATGACCAGAATGAACTTGCGGAGGGATTCATACCTGGTTTTAAAAGTGCACACACAGTGTTTGAAGAGCCATTTTCAAAAGTAAAACCAGGGTAAGATCGATTGCGATTTAATAACTTGTTCTCAGCAATGTCAATGATGAAATCTTTTCCTGGACCTTTGAAGAAGTCTCGGCCAAGTATCGGTCTCACGACATTACAACGCGAAGCTTCGAATTCAAAAGACTTTCCATTAATTGGAACGCTGATGGCACATTTTCCGTAAGTCCGAATTACGTTTCCGCTTGCGTCTCTAAGTCCCGAATCGATGGAAGAACTATTCATTGTTTGATTCTCCACAGGAACAATTGTGACTGGGGATCCCGTATCGATCATGAACTTGCCCGCCTGGAACGGAGCTGTAAGGATACTCTTCGAGACTACAGAAGCACATGCCGAAGGAGGAACGTCACTTGATTGATCCACTTCGTTTATAGGAACAGCGG